TTCATATTTCATCAACAAATCAAATTTTACCATTTTTTAAAATAACTTCATCAAACCAGCATTTTTATAATCATAGCCAAGATGTTCCACAACTTTTTTCCTTGAACTGACGTACATCTTTCTTTCAAGTTAGTTTGAATTTTAAGTTTAACAAACATTTAAAATCCTTTAAGATTATAATAACTTTCCCTCTTAATGAAATCAGATTGAATATTATTCAAAGGTACTGTTTTTATGAGCCTTATACATAATCAGCAAAATCCTATAATCAACCAACTCTTAAAATTATAATAATTTCAACTGATAAAATAATATATTAGATGGGTGATTATAATGTTTTCTGTCTTTAAATCTTATGGCTCATTTTTGCAAAACAAAAACAGAATTTGTAAAAGTTTTACATGCCTTCCTTCAGACTTCTATACAGTAAATCAAATGTGGAACAATTATTGTTTTATATAATATAAACAGAGCTTTATCATTAAATAACTCCTTTACCTGATACAATACTGCAATAGATTTGACTATTTTTGTTCTTAAGTCATTTATATGAGACTTCCAAGTCAAATTTTCATCAATAATAATATCATTCAAGAACTTGACCTGATAAACTCTACAGATCTCAACACCATCAACTCTACATGAAGCATCAGTAGTTCTTTTTCTATTACTAAATATCATATAATTAGTTTAGTCTAAATTTAGTGATAATTTATTGTGTTTTTACATTTTCTGTTTGCATCATTTCCAACATTTGTTTTAAATCTTTGCCCAAACAAAAAAAAGTAGTGTCATCTGCAAACAAAACACATCTAAAAACCCGACACATTTACTAAATCATTCACATATAAAAGAAACAACTTTGGTCCGAGTACAGAACCCTGTGGAACTCCACATGTAATATTAGCTGGACTTTGAAGACCAGCTGTGGTGTCAATAATAATAACAGAGGTGGTTGAAGGTCTGGTTCTTCTGGTTCTGGTCTTCCTGCAGAACATCGAGCTGAAGGTTGAAGCTGAGAGTTTGAAGAAGGAGCTGCAGGACCGACAGGAGCTTCTGAACCAAGCTCTGTGAGTTCCTCTCAGAACCAGGATCCTGGATCTGAGGACGGTCAGACTGAACATCTGCAGCTTCCTGCTCTWTGAAAGGATTGGTTTAGTTACTTCCTGTCAGTGAAGCTGCTCCTGACCTTCTGTCCCTGTAGATCCACAGCAGAGGCTTTATCCAATCAGAATGAGGCAGAGCTGCAGCGCCGCCTGGCCCAGCGCCAGCAGGAAATCAGCCGAACCCAGGAGATCCTAGAGACCAAAGTCCAKCTGCTGGAGAAGGTGAGACCTCAGACAGCCAGGTCCTGATGGGCTCCACGGTTCTGATCAGGAACACTGACAGGGTTCTGTTCCTCAGGAGGCCCAGCTGGCTCAGGACCGGGCCCAGAAGATGGCCTCGCTGGCGGACTCTGCGTCCCAGCGCTGCCTGGTTCTGGAGAGGGAGATGGTGGAGAGCGGAGGCTCTGGTGGACCACTTGATAAAGACAGGTCCTGAACCCTGATCCAGATGTCTGCTCATTTTAAAACCTGAAACACCAAACTGAGATGATCTGATAACTGACACCTCCATCCTGAGGTGGCTAAAGTTCTGCAGGAGCCACTCTGGTTCTGCTGGTTCTGACCCAAACACAACCTTCTGTGTGTTCCTGTACCACAGGCTGGAGGAGCTGACTCAGCAGAAACACCAGCTGAGCCTGAGGGTCCAGGAGCTGGAGGTCAAAGTTCATGACCTCACCTCGTCTCTGAGGAGGAAGGAGCAGGAAGCTGAGGTCTGTCTCCAGGTTCTCTGTTTAACATGGAGGATGGATGGATGGTTGGATGGATGATAGATGGATGATGGGTGGTTGGATGGATGGATGATAGATGGATGATGGGTGGTTGGATGGATGATGGATGGATGGATGGTGATGGATGGATGGATGGATGGTGGATGGATGGATGATAGATGGATGATGGGTGGTTGGATGGTGATGGATGGATGGATGGATGGGTGGATGATGGATGGATGGATGATAGATGGATGATGGATGGATGGATGGTGATGGATGGATGGATGGATGATAGATGGATGATGGGTGGTTGGATGGTGA